GAGACCTTGTTGTCTATAGAACTAAAGATATATATATATATAATTCATAATTGCTGTGTCTATTAGAATGTGTACCTACCAAAAAACACTCATCGTAAAAAATCACTTAAAATCATTCGAAAAGTTAATTATTATCAAAATTGATGATGTAAAATACGGAAAATAAATTGAATTTTTAATTGCATGGAATATTTTTCAAATTTCAAGAATTGGTCTATTTTTTCTTATTTCTATTTAAATTTAAAAAATCATTTTAATTTCAGTAAAACAATTAATTCAAACTACGCAATTATTATTATTATTATTATTATTATTATTATTATTATTAGGTTTTGAAAATTAAAACAATTAAAATTATTATTATTATTACTATTATAACAAAATAATTTACGATGAGGCTCTGGAAAAGGAAATTTAAAAAATCGACAGTCGTGAAGAATTGAACCCCGGCCCTTGTTTGTTAGAAGTCTAGCACTATTGTCACTGGGCTATTACACACTTTTTAATTATTATTTGTAAGAAATGATTTTTAGCAAATGTTAATTTAATTCCAATGTGAATTAAATTACGTTTGACATTAATTTTATCAATTTCTTTCAAATTGACTTCCGATAACACACTGAGAGAGTATATATATATATTAAATTTTGTAAGAAAAAGTAAAAAAAAATTTTAGAAAGTAAAAAAAGTAAACCTAAACTTAACATTGGGAAAAATTTGGGAAAAAAGCAACATTTTGATATAAAAAATACTAAACTTTAAGAAAACTTATGTGAAATTTAGTAAATTTATATTAAAATTGAATTAATATTCTTGATATTTGATATAATTATATAAATTTCATATTAGTTTTTTAAAGTTTAGTAATTTTATTTAAAAATTTTCCTTAAATTTTTTCCCCAAATCGCAAATATACTTTTACAAAATTTAATATTTTGTAAAATTTACTTCAGAAATAATGAAAATTAATTTGATAATTTTGTAAAATTTACTTCTATAATATAGTAAAAATTGTTATCGCAAAAATGTACGATATCCCTAAAAGTTTAAAAACTTTACTACTTATAAAATTATAGTTTTTACAAATTTGATACAAATATATTTTATTTGAAACAAGTAAATTTTTCAGACAAATAAATTATAGTTATTAAACTCTATGACAAATATTAACTTTTATTCAATTCAAATAAACTATATATATAATATATTCTATTTTAACAAATAAAATTTCATTTGATTCAAATAAATTTTATTTGAATCAATAAAATTTTACGTGATTCAATTAAATATTACTTGATGCAATAAAATTTTGTTACACTCAATAAAATATTTCATTCGAATGAATAAAATTTCATTTGATTCAAATAAATTTAGTTTGATTAAACATGTTTAAGATTTTGTATTAGATTTAAATAAATTTTCATTTTATTTAAATAAATTTTCATAGTATTCAAATAAATTTTCATTTTATTTAAATAAATGTTACTATTGATGCAGTAAATTTTACTATATTGATACAGTAAATTTTGTTTGATTCCATAAAATTTCACTTGATTCGAATAAACTTTATTTGTTACAAATAAATTCTGTTTTTACAAATAAAATTTTATTTGACTTAAATAAATTTTGATTAAAATCAAAAGAATATCATTCGATTAAAATCAATTTTATTTAATGCAATAAAATTTTGTTTAAATCGAAATAATCATTCGAATAATTTTATTCGTAATTTCATTTGATTCAAATAAATTTAGTTTGATTAAACAAATTTTGTATTTGATTTAAATAAAATTTCATTTTATTTAAATAAATTTTATTTTATATACAACTAAATTTTACTATTGATGCAGTAAATTTTGTTTGATTCAATAAAATTTCACTTGATTCAAATAAATTTTATTTGCTACAAATAAATTCTGTTTTTACAAATAAAATTTCATTTAACTCAAATAAGTGTTATTTGGGGCAAATAAAATTTCACTTGAAGAAAATAAATTTTATTATATTCAAATAAATTCTGTTTTGATTAAAATAAATTTTGGTTAAATCAAATAAATTTCATTAATCCAAATAAATTTTCTTCGATTCAAATAAAACATATTTCGCGCACTATGTGAAATAAAAGATTTTGCAAACTAGCAATAAAGGGGGACATGAATTCTTCTCTTAATAAAATATGCCAATATTAGCAAAAGTTCCATTTTCGCTAAGTGCGGTCAATAACCCTTTTTAATTTTATATACATCATATAAATACACATTAATGTATATATACATATATATACACTGACGGTTATGCCAGTGGCACTATTTAAGTACATAGTAATTGACCACTTCTTTCATCAAGCCGTTCTCCTTATATGTTATAACTTCACATGTCGATATACATATATACACATATATATGATTTGAATTTCAAACTCTCCCGATTAAAAACACATTAGAAGCTTATGAGATCATTTATATAGTGCTTGTTCAAGTTCCTTCGACTTTCCCTTATAAGGTCGTCTGCAGGCATGATATTGCATGATATTCAAGAATTTAATGGACTCCTAGCAAAGTCGTTATCTTTTGAATATTTGACGCCCCTTTCACTGGAAATCATAAGGTAACTTGAAAGCCTGTTACATTATTAATGTATCGGATTATTGTTTTTAAGTTATTCCCGGGGAATAAAAAGCAGAGGAATAAAATTATATTTCTTTTTAGTATATTTCTCTTCTACTTTACAAGAAATGACATATATATTTGTATTTTATTCCAGAATTTTCAAATTTCCAAGATCAATTTTCAAAGCTGCGAATATTCAAAATTTTTTATTTAAAAATCAAAACCTAATACTGGAAATTGTATATTTAATACCGAATATTCAAAATTGTTTATTCAAAACCGAATATTTAAAATTTATACACTCGAAAAATATGCGGGGTAGAATAATATAATAATTAGAATTTTTATAAATTTGTTTACTTATTCGTTAATATAGTAAATAAAACTGTTTTTAATTTTGCGGGTGATAACATTACACCGCTTTTGTGAATGGCACCTACTATCGGCTCAAAAAGTATAGGCCCCTGTGTTTGAAAGCTCATAACTCAGGTAAAAAAATTCACACGTTAATCGGACAACTTGGATTTAGAAGAAACACTATTTCTACGTTAGTATACGGAAATGCAAGAAATAAAAAAATTTTTTGCGTTATTTACGGATTTTCGAAAGTGAAAAATACATGTTTTTTTGAAGCATTTTGACAAGGGCCTACTTTGAAAGCTTGTAGCTTATTCAATAAGTATCGCATTGTTATGCTGAATTTTTTCTATGAAGTTTAAACCCTACTAAAACAATATATACAAAAATTTTTGAATTATTGCATTAACTTTTTGTTATTATTTGAAACAAAGATAAAAAGTCATCGCCTTTGCAAATAATAATACAGATTTGAGACAAACTGTAAATTACGTACAATATGGTATTGAAAATAATGCAATAAAAATAAATTGTTTAAAAAAATTTTTAATGAATTATTTAGAAAAAAGTTTTCAGTTTTTTGCTTTATTACCCCCATTAAAGCAAGGTGCAGGCAGTCTTGCCGATACCTTTAGTGAAGATCACTCGACAAAGGTTTTAAAGTTGTAAATAACTCGCTATAATAGAAAAATCTTTAAAAAAAAAGGTACAGTAGTGGACCGCTTGGGACCGCTGCCATTGAATGTCCTGTTGCTGACAAAAGGGTTCATGACTGCCTGCACCTTGCTTTAATGGGGTAATAAAGCAAAAAACTGAAAACTTTTTTCTAAATAATTCATTAAAAAATTTTTTTAAACAATTTATTTTTATTGCATTATTTTCAATACCATATTGTACGTAATTTACAGTTTGTCTCAAATCTGTATTATTATTTGCAAAGGCGATGACTTTTTATCTTTGTTTCAAATAATAACAAAAAGTTAATGCAATAATTCAAAAATTTTTGTATATATTGTTTTAGTAGGGTTTAAACTTCATAGAAAAAATTCAGCATAACAATGCGATACTTATTGAATAAGCTACAAGCTTTCAAAGTAGGCCCTTGTCAAAATGCTTCAAAAAAACATGTATTTTTCACTTTCGAAAATCCGTAAATAACGCAAAAAATTTTTTTATTTCTTGCATTTCCGTATACTAACGTAGAAATAGTGTTTCTTCTAAATCCAAGTTGTCCGATTAACGTGTGAATTTTTTTACCTGAGTTATGAGCTTTCAAACACAGGGGCCTATACTTTTTGAGCCGATAGTAAATTGCTTAAGCGACGGAGTGGGGCAATGAGAGTGACAAAGAACTACCGAGATTTCTCTCTCGCACTCATTGCTCCCACTCTGAAACTTAAGGTAGTATCACAATCCTTGCGGTACTTCCACCGAACATCCACATAAAATATTTGAATTCGACTCACATCGACATCACTTTAAGAAAACAATAAATACGAATCCTAATCGCGTTCTTAATTCTCAATAAATCAAAAATAAGGAATTTCTTCCTTAAGGAAGAAATTCCTTATTTTTGATTTATTGACTATTTTGTCGACATTACTACAAAAAGCACAATTGCACCAAGAACTAATTATTTAGTTTGAAAAATTTTCCCCAACATGGTAGATATGTAAAATAGTGAAAAAAGAAATTTGCTAGCAGCAGGAGATAAAGGAACCAAGGGGGTCTCGAGTATAGTAGAAAGAGAAATAAAGAAGAGGCGGAAGAGTTAAGTCGGTGCGCGTGCTTTCCCCCAACGGATTGAAGAGTATAAAGTGTGCGCGCGCATTTCACGGTTAAATTACGGTTCGCTGGAAGATAACATAATGGTGGGGAGCGAAAGTCCAAGTGGGCTTTGCTTAGGGGCGTTATGGGGCGGCGATCCATTCTCCCGGTTGCCCGCCCCACAGCTCTGCCCCCTTTTTTGCCTGGAGGTCGACTGCTCGGATACAATATTCCCTACTACTACCAGCTCCACCAAACCCGGACGTGTTTCGTTCAGAGAAGAACCCGATCGTTTTACCCGGCAGTCTGTCACGGGGCGAAGAGCGGGAACCATCACGCTAACCGGTTCCCTCAAGTTTTTTTTAGAGAAACTGTTTTTTAATTCAAAATCAACTATTTCAATAAATTTTTCCCCTTTCATTCGTTTGAATGTTTCGTTGTTATTAATTAAGTTTTCTCCCTCCCCACTTTCAACCCCCCACGGAATTGTGATATTTGTTAAGAAACAAAGACTTGATTGTTTTTGAATAAAAGACAACAAAAATTGTTGTCAGACATAATAAGTTTGCTTCCTTTGGGGAGCTGGACCTCTGGCAAGAGGCCTATAACGAGATGCTGACTGATATGACACCAGCGGCGGCTGGTCAACTCTATCCGCAACTACAATCAATCAGCAAGACACCAGTACATGGTCATGTGGTGAGTGTTATTATTCTCAGTGTTGTGATAATATTTAGTTTCGTTATCGAAAATACCGTCGCGGTAAATGGCAAAAAAAAAAAAAAAATTCGTGTGGCAGAGAAAAAGTGACGGATATAAGGCCAATTGACTATATAGGGTGATTGTTATCTTAATCCGGGTTATACAGGTAAAAAATTGAAAATCTTACCAGAAGATCAGGTGCTACTGTATATGACTTGTCACCTACCGATGGTTTCCGATCAATGCGATGGATAAGGATCAACGGTCCTGTCGGCAAATTAGTACCTGCTCCCTTACATATAGTGTCTTTGAATTAGCTTCTTCTTCTTCTTCTTTTGTGTGCCTCATCTTTTCATCATTTTGTGCCGTGTGCTTCTGATCCTTATCGTGATTGCCTCTTCGAATGAACATAGTCATTCTGTCTATTAGAGATGGTGACTCTCCTATCAATATATATGTATGTCTTGGATAATTATATGGTCCCGACATCACTATACGTCATGTTTTTCTTTGACCATCATTTTTCGAACCGGGGAACTTTGATCTTTTGTGGATAACAGCAAACCATCATTGTTGTCTTTAGATCTTGTGTTCGGCATGTTGCGCATCTCCGTTGAATGACATTCTCTTCTTTGTAGTATATTTAATCACCAACATGTTAGATTGAAGAAATGTTAAAATCATTAAAGTTGTTAACATTACCAATATTGTCAATTTGCATATTGTAGATTGTTACTTTGCATATTTTGAATTGTGGCTGCTACCGGAGAACGGTATAGCAGACATCTAGTTATAGCAACTATCTTTGAAGTGCAATCACAATTGGTAGTAAACTGAACAATTGCTGCGTTCTTTTATACTTCTTGTTGCTTTTTGAACCATCTTCTTAATGCTTCATTTGCCACAAGTTTAAGGAACTTTATTTGAATCACATTTTTGGAGTTGTTAATATTTTTTATCATCTTTCCGAAAAGTGCTAAAACATTTCTCAAAATCACTTTCGCAAAGTGGATTCTTTCTTTCTTTTATTCACTGTATCACAATTGGAATTTTTTAGTGCTGCAATTCAGAAATCCGAATTTTTTGTTGCTCTACTTTTTAGTGCTGCATCTAATTCTGATGCTAATTCGGTCTTTGCTGCTACAGCATTTTTCTTCGCCTTAATTGACTTTAGGACTTTCGCCAAAGATTGGAACATGCTCTTGAGGCATCTATTTGTAAAGCATCTGATGCATTATCAAATTGAGTTAGACATCAAGTGCCAAATCATCTTGTTCTTCTTCGCCTTCTGCTACATCCTTTAATCTACTTCTATCACTATTTAATTTTGTACATCCTCCGGCTCTCTTAGAGCATCATTATTTTTCTACTGCAGCTAATTTCGAATCTGCTTCCATCACTATTAATTTTTGTAAGTCTGACATATTTAGAGCATCATTATTTTGCTACTGCAGATAATTTTGAATCTGCTTTTATCACTATTTAATTTTGTATGTCTTCTGACATATTTAGAGCAGTATTATTTTTCCGCACTGCAGATAATTTTGAATCTGCTTCTATCACTATTTAATTTTGTATGTCCTTTATTGGTACATTTTGACCATCATCAACTTTCTACTAATTGTATCATTTTAATCACATTAGTATCTCTACAGTTCAAGTTACCAAATTATCTTGTTCAGAAGGTGAAGTCCTTCCTGCAACATCTTATTAATGCTGCAACATCCTTTAATCTTCCTCTGTCACTATTTAATTTTGTACATCCTCTGGCAAAATTTGAGCATCGTCATTTTTTTCTGCTGCAGCATATTTTGCATTTCAATAAGTCCCGAGTCCCAATTATACTTACACCTTCTGAATCAGACTTGTATCATTCTAACGCATACATCATTCAAAACATCCAAATTTGTGTCAATTCACATTTTTTTCTTTCGCAACAATACTAACAGTGAACTACATTAACCATTATATTCTATAGTCCTAAATTTAAAAAGAATTATCATCTCCCTTAAAATAGCATATTTCGTGATGTCGCAGGAAAAAAAGGGAATTATAAAAAGAAAACCAACAATTCACAAGGGAAATCCTCTTCTTTTTGACCGCACTTTTCTTGGCGACAAGAGCAAAAGTCCTTCTGATCCCTTGCGGATTATCCGTTTCTGTTTTGACGGGAAACGACAAGTATTCATCCGCATTTAACTATTACTAGTTCAACATCATCGGATTACTTTTTATTTCGAATATAATATGAAAGAGATCTTTTTTTCTTTCTTTCTCACTCTCTTTCTTGCTAATATTGAAACACGTGTTCGCGATTTTTATTTTATGACTCGGCATAAGGACGCTCTCTCGTCCAATGATTTACGAGTCAACGTAAAAAAGTAATTAAATTCTCGACATCAAAAAGAGGCATATACGAATATTAATTAAGTGCCACGTATAGAAGCAGAGAAGTCCTTTTGGACCATGTATAGATATATTTATAAACACCGAAAATTAATCTTGACGGAAAGTTCCCTGCTCTTTGCACGCACCGGACGTGGCGACACACGTGCGTGTCGTACTTTTTTTTGAAATAAGAAAAAAAAACTCTTTTCGTCTTAATTCTTGCGTCATCGTACGCCCTTACTTCTCTTTCTCTCTTTTTTTCTCTCTCTCTCGTTTTTTTCGTTCTCTCTCTCTAAACTTTATAACAGCGGCACGATTCATCGATAATCAATCGACAGTTCGTAGAATTGGAAAAGAAATCGTAAGAGAGAGAGAAAAAAAACACCTGCTCGGAAGATAATTTGCTCCATCGTCGGACGATGATGAACTTTATAACGTGTGTGATGTGTGTTCATTATCATTGGCGGATTCTTTCGAAATCCCAGAAGGCAATTTGTCATATCTATATAGAGGCGCGCTTCGAGTCAAACATTAAGCAAACATCAAGAATTAACATTAATAGGACCATATGCTTCTTTGATCATCTTTTCTGTAAAAGATGATCATTTGAAATGATTTATTTTCAACTATTATTTTTTACCTTCGTTCAGAAGAGTGTATTATCATCATCATCAATTTGCAAACACAGTGTCTATTTTTTCTTACTTTTTTTTATCACTTTATTATACATAAGCTGCTGAAAATAAATCTGTCAGTTGTAACTGTATAAAACCGTTTAGTTCAGAAACATTTGAATTTTAGCCTTGATAGTAGAATTTCATGTTTTGTTTTAGCATTAAATTGTAAAATTGACTTTTAACACTTTTCGGTGTTATTTAAAAATAGTCAATTAATTATTTACACTTTCAATCATTTTGGTTTTAAGATGTAAACGGTTATGGATTTTGCTTAAAAAGTTAGAAATGCATCGCGTCGTTTAAACCCGCAATGCGGACTTTAGATTGAACTTTTATGATAGACAATAATATAGTAATAGAGGCTTATTTTCTAAATAGGAAACAAGTGGAAAAAATTAGCCATCGTTAAATAGTTGCGGAGGGGAATTTTGGAGTTTTGATTTTTGTTGGTAATTCAAGGAGCACTTGAAATGTATCAAGTGTCCTTGTATAGTTGAAAAGTCCTTGTGCAAAATCCCCCAATTTTTAAAGGATCAAAGGGACCTACCTGGTATTATATCCACGTGAGCCAATTATTTATCTGATCTCTTTTCAATCTGGTGAGCATCATCACTTGACAGGATGCGTGGGATGCAACTTGATCTCAACTTCCTCTCGTGTCACTTGATGCCACACGTGAAAACTCCCCTCCACACATATTATATATTTTTGCCCTGGAAGAAAAATAAAAAATTTTTGAAGTTTATTTTTTGGTTTCCTATTTACTATGGTTTTATATACTATTACTAGGATTGCTGTTAGTATTATTATATTATCACTATAGTATTGAAAGTAATCTTTTTTTTACTAGTATTACTGTTACTATTATCGGACTATTACTAGTATTATTTTTTCTATTATTGGACTTTTAATACTGTTACTATTATTATACTATTAATAGTACTAATTACTAGTTTTTTGTTACTAAAATTGTACTGTTAACTAGTTTTACTATTAATATTATTACAATAATAATAGTTCTACTATTTCTAGTATTGTACTATTAACTATTACTATTATTATACTATTAATAGTACTATCATCACTAGTTTTATTGTTACTAATATTATACTGTGAACTAGATCTGCTATTACTATTTTTAAACTATTAATAGGTCTTACTATTAACAGTATTACTATTTCTAGCATTGAACTGTTAATTAACTAATATTGTTATTACTATTATTATACTACTAGTAGTATTGCTATTACTACTTCTAGTACCGGTACTACCACTATTTTATTTAGGTTACTAATTAATTTATTTTAATTAGTAACCAAATTAATTTATTTTAATTAGTAACCTAATTAATCAATTTTAATTAGGTTACTAATTAATCTATTTTAATTAAAATAGATTAAAATCTTTCAATAACGGAAACTATATTTTCCATCTTAAAAAACTTTTTCACATGTAACAAATTTTTCCCTAAAAAACCTTTTTTTCTGGAAAAATTTTCTCCTAGGAAAAATTTCCTCCCTGGAGAAAAGTGAATTTTTTCGAGTTGCGTAAAGGTTTCATTTTTTTTTTTGCTATTCTCGATTCTCGCTCCACTTCACTTTTCCAGTGGTGTGTTCAATATAAGCCGATAATCCGATTCGACAAGTAAAAGTACAGTGTAGTAGTGTGAGTGTGTTCTTTTGAAAAATTGAAGCGTCGCACGGCTCTCTGACATTCTCGAGTAGAAGTGACAATGGACTGCGAAACGGACATAGTTGAGCTTGTTGTAATGCGTTTTTGAGCCATTCGTCGCACACAGCGGGGTGGAGGAAAAAAGACCAATGTTGCCTTTTCATGTGTGTGTGCTCTACCTGGAGCACCCATAACGCCGGATATTCCCGAACATGTCAACCTAATTTGTCTCCTTTTGCGTTTGTTTCCATATACCCTATA